ATAGACTATAAGCCTAATGAGGGCAGAGGTTGTTGCTTGTTTGGTTCATTGATGTTTCCCAGCATCCAGCATAGTGCTGGCATATAGCAGGTGCTGAGTAAACCCATGTACAGTGACCATGACCTCTGTTCTCCCATAAGCCTTGCAGGGGTGGATTCAGCTGGTCAGCCTTCAGGATCTGGAATCAGTAATTGAACACAACTCACCATCCTCTCCCTTATCCCTCCAGGAATTTTCATCAAGGCAAGCCCTTATTACCTTGTAGTAATAAGGTAATAAGAGCTACACAAAATAAGCCTATGTAGACTTTTGGTTAGAATTTTTGGCTTACTCCTTTTTCTTTAAAAAAAAAAAAATTATTTATTTTTAGAGAGAGGGGAAAGAAAGGAGAAAGAGGGAGAAACATCAATATGTGGTTGCCTCTCACGCACCCCCTACTGGGGATCTGGCCTGCAACCTAGGCATGTGCCCTGATCAGGAATCTATCCAGTGATAGTTTGGGTCACAGACTAGCACTCAATTCACTGAGCCACACCAGGCAGGGCAACAGTATCTGCTCATTTTTCAACTGTTCTGGCAAAATTGAAATCCTCCTTCCCACATACACCTCTGCCTTGTCCACCATACTGTTTGATGGCAGTGAAATTTTGCTTGAGGTAACCGTTCCAGTGGAAATCTGTGCGCAAGGACTTTTTAAACCATCCCAGATGGTTATCTGTGTTAAAAGAACGACATTCTCAAATTTCACCAGCTGATACGTAGTGGCATTTCCAGCCCTGGAGTTCACACAGCTTTCTGTCTGTTATAGGGTCTAGGCTGCAGGCCTATCTTGTGCTTAGTGCAAAGTAGCCACCAAAGGAAAAAGCTAAAAAAGCAGTTAAGAGTTATAGTCAAGTATACTGTATCATAAACTCAAAAATTGCCAAGAGACTAGATCTTAAATGTCCTCAACATAAAAAGGAAATATTATGTGATGTGATAGAAGTGTTAGCTAATGGTATGGTCATAATTATATTGCAATATATAAACACCTTAAATTAAGGTGTATTGAATCAACACCTTAAATTTACACAATGTCATATGTCAGTTAGATCTCAAATAAATGAAGGAATGGAAAGAAGGAATAGATTAAGGGCTTGAGGCCTAGCGTGATGCAAGTATATTTTTTAAGGAAAGAAAAGGAAGGAAGAGAGGAGAGGGGGGGGAAGAATTAGTTAAGGACTTGAGGCCAAGAATGATGCAAATACTGTATTTTTAAGTATGGTTCCTGCCTGCCAGAGGTCATGAAAGGAGGAGAACTTGCTCCTCTGTCCCTGTAGTTGGGAGCCTTCATTTTCAGTCACTGTCAAGGCATTGCCTAGTATTGCTTCACTGAGACAGCATCTCAGAATGACCTGATGTAGAAAGATCTTGGGTTTGGGGACACTCTGACCTATAAGCTACTTGTCTCTGCCATTTGCCAGCTGTGGGGGCCCTGGGCAATTCATTTAACTGTTTTTTGTTGTTTTTTTTTTAAGTAACATTTTTTTTTAATTATAGAAAAATACAAGAAAGGAAATAAGCCCTGGCCAGTAGCTCTGTTGATTAGAATGTTGTCCTGTGCCAAGGTTGCGAGTTCCATCGTTGGTCAGGACACATAGAAGAGTCAACCAGTAAATACTAAATAAATGGAAAAACAAATCAGTGTTTCTCTTTCTCACTCTTCCTTCCTCTCTTTAAAATCAGTGAATAGAAAAAAGAAAGGAAACAAAAACTCAAAATTTTACCACCTTTACATTTTAAAAAACCTACATGCAACTAAAAAATCTTAAAATGATAGAAAGGAAGAAAAGTCCCATCCAATCCCTTTATCCAAAGATACCCACTCTAAGTTTTTGTAAATACACTAAAAAAAAAAAAAAAGTGCCTACATAGCTATTGGATAGGATATAATTAAAGCTATACATAAGGACATTATACCATCTTTATTTTCACAAAAGGAAGTGTACTGTGTAGACTTGCTCTTTCCTTTTCTTTTAATTATATTTTGCAAATTGGCACATTGAAAGCTATCTCTTTTTAAGGCTGCATAGTATTCCATTGCATGGGTTCTTTCATTTAGAATGGTTTGTTTTTTGTGTTTTTTTTTAGTGCCAGACACTTTCTAGGAACTTGGGACACCAGCATTGCACAAAACAGACCAAGTTCTTATTAAACTGATGTTCTAGCAAAAAAAAATTTGACAATAAATATCTAACAGAATTGAGTAATTATAAATACAATGCAGAAAAGTACAGCAGAATAAGGGTACAGGTGAGGAGCAGCACCATTTGAAACAGTGGTCAAGGGAGCGTTTGAGAAATGAGATTCAAGCAGAAGACAGAATGAAGAAAGAGAATGAGTCCTGTGCAGATTTGAGGAATAGTATTCCCAGCAAAGGGAACTACAAGGGCAAATGCCTGGAGGTAGGAACCTGCCTGGGCTATCATAGGAAAAGCAGAGTAAGCAAGGGAGAGAGCTTAGGGGTTCTAGAAGAGGCCATTTCATGCAGGGCATTGTAAGCACTTGGATTTCAGGGTAAGTGCAACCAGAGCTATTAGAGGGTTTTCAGTAGCAGAGGAGAGATAGGGTCTGAATTAAGTTTTAACAAAATCACCTTACCATCCAGGCTGCTGTGTGGATGCACCAAAAGCAGCCCTGTTTCCTAACTTTTTAATCTCTACTACCAACATTACTAATAAGCTTTCCACATATATCTAAGTGTATTATTGGGGTGAATCTGTCGGGTGAATTCTTGGCGGTGCAGTTGTTGACTATATACATTTTCTATATTTTCTCCCCCCAAAACTTGAGCTTTAGTTTCCTGGTCAATTAAAGTTTTCAATCATAATGCCCACTTCAGAGTACTTTGGGATCATCAAGCAAAATGTTGGGTTTGAACTGGATATACATGAAGGAGTTGTACGTGTGATAGTTTGAGTTCATTGGATTGGCTAGGAAATGACCCCCTTCTTGGAAGTCCTTTATGGCCAAGGTTTCCTGGGGTCTTGCCTTTTTTAATTTCCCTGTGGCTTCCTTGCTCAGTCTGATTTTGAAGATAAAAGATTTCCTCCCTTTGTTTACGTGGTTTATTTTGCAGGACAACAGCCTTTAGGATTGTTTTTCTGGAGTAAGTTGGGGGTGGGGGTTTAGGGTATTACTTCAGGGCCCTCCCTGGATGATGGTGGATGTCTTCTTATTCTTTAATTAGTCATCTTCTGGAAGACTACGATGTGGAAAATTTTAAAGTGATTGCCAGATTGTGATTCTAGGCAGCAGCTGGCAGGTTAAACATTGAGATGCCCAGATTGCTGGCAACACATTGTTTTCAGGAATTGGAGTTTGTGGGCAGAACAAAGGAGCCACCACAGGGGAGTACTCCAGGGCTTCTGAGGGGAAGGTTTGATGCCCTCCTTGAAAAGGATTTGTGAATTGTAAAGGCCAGACTGTTTAGTCCATCTAGGTGTACTTCCTGAAAGCTGGTTTTCAAGGGCAGCACTATCCAATAGCACTTTGTATAGAAATGGAAATGGTTTATAATCGACACTATCCAATACCATGGCCACTGGGGCTATGTAGCTATGGAGCACTTGAAATAGCTAGTACGACTAAAGAACAGAATTTATTTATTTATTTATTTATTTATTTATTTATTTATTTATTTTTAAGGAGGATTCTCTTTATTTTTAGAGAGAGAGAGAGGGGGAGAGAGAAAGAGTGGGAGAGAAACATTGGTTGCCTCTTGCAAGCTCCCAAATGGGGGCCTGGCCCGCCACCCAGGTATGTGCCCTGATCAGGATTTGAGCTGGCAACCTTTAAGTCTGCAGGCAAGTACTCAGTCCACTGAGCCACACCAGCCAGGGCTTTAATAACAGAATTTAAAACTTTATTTAATTTTACTTACTTACTTATTTAAGAGGGCAAAATGTTTATTCACTTTCCAAGAAAGAAAAGGGGCTGAATGTGGAGAGATACCCCAGCTCTAAAAGCTTAGGTCTATGAGTTTTTATTGGGTTGTGAAGGGGGAGGGGCTGCAGTTGGGGAGTCATAGCAATTAGTTGAAAAACAGGAGGTTTCCAGCAGATTGTGTAGACTTCAATTGAATCAAACAAACAGTTTGTTCTGCTGTTACCTTTGGGTTTCGTGTACAGCCCTTTCAGTCTGTATGCTCTGATTGTGTGAGCTCCTAAAACACCTGCCTGAGGAATGTTTTCAGTAATGTCTCCAGTCCTGCCATGTGAAGGGTCATCTGAGGCTCCTCTGATATGATGATCAGATGGTCAGTGGGGACAATGGGAGGACTTGGACACATATCTCGGGAAAAGAAATAGAAGTCGTTAGCTCGGCTGGACTCCCGGTTCCTCCCAGTAATCCGTGTTCGGCTGGGTAGGCCTCCTGTAGCTCCCAGCACCATCAGCTATATCGCCACGATTTCCAGTTCTTAATCCAAAACCACGTGACACCTCCTCATGGCCCAACAGCGAGAATCCTTTATGCCTTTTCTTCCTGCATGGTCTCGCATTGTTCCCTCCCATCTGTAAAAAATTTAATTTAATTTTAATAAATTTAAGTAACTACATGTGTTCAGTGGTTATGTATTTCACAGTGCAGTTCTAGGCCGTTACCCCTGTGCCCAGCATAACATTGAAATTCCCCCACTTTGCTCCAGAAATCTATGGTGCTCTTCTTTCCTCAGATCAGGTACCCCCCATCCCCAAGTTCATAAAGTCTTTTATTCTGTCTCTAATGTCTTCCATACTTTTGGGGACTGGGATGGATAAACACTTGTACAATAAACAAAATAGTCTGTCTTGTTCTCCACTTGTCTCAGATGTGCTTTTTCTCCCCAGCTGAATTGAGATCTTATAGTTGAGGTTTCTGTATTCTTTTTGTCATCTGTATTGTTTAAGTTGTGCCCATTAAATAGTGTCAACAGATTAATTGATTTGCCCTTTTTAATTGACTCCGCCCCTTTTTCACAGGTGCCTTGAAGAAGAGTCTCACAGCCGAGCAGGTCCGGGCTGATTTCATAACTTTGGGTAGGTCATCACCAAAGTTGCTCAGAGTGACAAGCCTTGCAGTTCTTTATTATTAATGTCTTCCTGTGTTCTCTCATAGGTCTTAGTGAAGAGAAAGCCACTTACTTTTCTGAAAAGGTATCATAATTCCTCTTAATCAAGGTTAAGATCACTTGCTTTTATTTCATGAAAAAAAAAATGGAAAATGCCTCCTAAGGAAAAGCCATCAATCATCATGTGTCATTTCCCCAGCTTAACGTTTTTCATTTGGTTTCACGCAAATGAAATACATCCAGCTTTTAAACTGATCTATTTAGTGTATCTGTAATTTTTGCGCATTTTTTTTTTTTTTTTTGTGCATCCCTCTGGTTTGAGTGAATATAAATGTCATACAGTTGTTGTTCCAACATGGATTAAATCTTAGAATGAAATAAAACATTTATATTGTCTTCTGCCCCTGTGTCCTCCCCCTCTCCCCAGACCAGTGCATATAGACCAGTCCTTAGTTCTGCATTCTTCCTACTGTATAAATAACTAAAACATTGTTGTGTTGGAGGTGGAATGAAGAGGGGAGCTTTTTCCCATTTTTTAACTTTGGCTTTTTGCTTTTGTTCCAGTGGAAGCAGAATGCCCCCACCCTTGCTCGATGGGCCATAGGCCAGACTCTGATGATTAACCAGCTTGTAGATATGGAGTGGAAATTTGGAGGTAACTAGTTAAAGCCAGTTTTCGGTCCTTTGGGTGATAGAGGGTTGCGTTGCAGAGGCTCTTAATATAGCTTCAATGGGGCAGAGGTGTCCTCGGTCCTCAAAGATTGTTGGGGCCAACAGCTGCCTCTCTGTATTGCTGTCTACATTCAGAAGCTGTTTCTATCCTTGGCTGTTAATATGTTGACTTCCTGAAAAGCACATTTTGCTTTCCTTATACTTACCCCCATGTGGTTTCTGCTGCAACAACTTGCAAGATTAGGGTCTTCAGAGGAGGTCCTCAACCAGCCACTTACTTGTTTTCTCTTTTGTGTCATAGTGACTTCTGGGAGCAGCGAACTAGAAAAAGTGGGAAGTATTTTTTTACAAGTAAGTCTTCTTCTGATTCTTGAAAATCAGTAGATTTTTCACTTGGTTAAAAATGATTAAACTTGTCCTGGCTGGTGCGGCTCAGTAGAGTGCTGGCCTGCGAACCAAAGGGTCTCCCAATCAATTCCCAGTCAGGGCACAGGCCTGGGTTGTGGGCCAGGTCCCCAGTAGGGGCATATGAGAGACAACTATTCATTGATGTTTCTCTCCCTCTCTTTCTCCTTCCCTTTCCCTCTCTCTAAAAATAAATAAATAAAATTATTAAACCTACATTGGATGTCTTTAAATATCCAATTAAATGGATGTTCCACTGATGTGTGTTGTATAGCTCAGAGCAATATAATCAGCCAAAGACATGCTCACCAATGTGCTTACTTTCAGATTAATAGGATCCAGGTATTCTTAAAAGTTTGGTTGTTCCTCTAATCATGGGACTTGTTATAAGTTTTGGTGGAAAATCCAGACTGCTCCTATATAACTCTCAAGTTAGGAACTGGGTGCTTTGCCCTGGCTGGGTAGCTCAGTTGGTTATAGCAATGTCTTGATATGCCAAGATTGCACTTTCAGTCCCTGGTCAGGGCACAAACAAAGAGCAACCAATGAATACCTAAATAAGTGGAAGAACAAATTGATGTTCTTTTCTTCTCTCTCTCTCCCCCTGTTCCTCTCCCTCCCTTCCTCCTTTCCCCTTTCTCTAAAATGAATAAATTTTTAAAAAATTTAAATTAAAAAAGTTGGATGTTTTGATGTTTAAGTGAAATTCAAGTTTCAAGAATTTCTTTGTCTAGCGGTCATTTTAATTTTAATTTTTTATTCTTTTTAATCAGTTAAAGTTGGTGGTTAAAAGAGGAAATCAAACTGAAAACTTATATATAGGTGAGTCCAAATTCCCATTTGAACCTTTTCACTTTCTCTACGTTCTCTTTACTCAGTGGACTTATGTAGCCCCACAAATCATTTCTTCCGGGGCCGGCATTATTGTTAAACTGTATTATAACTACTGCCTTTCCTCTCCTAAAAGATGGTACAAAGATTGTTAATAAGCCATTGGTAGGTTAGAGACCCCAGAATTGAAGAACCTTTCTGAAAAAGGGGAAAAGGGGAGAAAGGAATGGCACAGATTAAAGAGCAAGAAGCCCTTGCTGTAGAAGTCACATTGAAACGTCCTGAATAATGCCCTTTTATCTCTGTGCTGTTGAGTTAGGCCATTTTAAACCTCCCCTCTTTTTTATGGAACTGAGAACTTTCCTGTGGTTAAGGCTCTCAGTTTTTTATTATGATCAGTTTACCCAACAGAAGCTGCTTGGTTGTACTAAGCCAGAAACGGGGGCGGGGGCGGGGGTGGAATCTCTGGGTGGAAATTAATTTCTTGGATGATTCTGTGAAGTTGGAAACATCTACCTGAAGCAGAATTTCTTCCCACAGAATTAACCTTGCCTCAGTTCTACAGCTTCCTGCACGAGATGGAGCGAGTCAGAACCAGCATGGAGTGTTTCAGCTGATTTCTGTTCCCCTGCATCTCCACCTTGCCCTGTCCGGTGCTGCCTTCTCTCCTGTGGGTGACTGCTCTGAGAAGCACCTCACTCACAGGCCTGTGGGACACTGATTGGGCCCTGCTTGCTTCTTGGGAGCCCAGGTGCAAAGGTTTCTGAAAAACAACAGGATTAAGTACTTAAGGAGCACTACACAATTACCCTGTAAACTCTTTGTTAAGGGAACCTCCACCACCTATCTCCCAGGACACTTGTTAGACATTCAAAAAGGCTCCTGCATCTCAGATTCAGGGAGGAAACAAGTGAGTCACCTCCCCACCAAAGTTCCAGGGTAAACAAATGGTGCTATCACTAAAGATACACACTTATCTCCCTCATCCTCCAAAAGCCAGGACTTGTTTATGACTGAGGAAGAGGCTGACTCTTATGAATGGCATGTGGGGAGCATCCAACAAGATTTGTACACTTTATAGTTGTGGTGGTGGTGCATTGCTAATCAGTTTTTAATGGGGCATCAATTTATAAAAACATGTTTGGTCTACTCTGAAAAGAACTGAGGCTGAACTGTCTTCATTCCGGGTTTTGCCATATTGTGTTACAATGCAGCAGGCCTTTGGGGAGCCCGTTATAGCTTGTTTGGGTTCAAGCTGACCACCTCTGTTGTTTAGATGATTAATAAAAATGGATACAAAGAAAAAGGTCTGCATCCAGCTGTCTTTATGTATGGATTAAAGAGTCATCTGCCTTGCAGGGAGCTAATGCTCTGATCTTCAAAAATCACTCCCTGGTTTTGGTGACAGCCCTGCGTCTTCACTGAAATTAGCTGTGGTCCGAGATTAGACTTGTAAGAGCAGTTCTGGGGAAACTCAGGTTAAAAACATGAAAAGCAGAGCATCTCTCTGCTTTGTGTTCAGATGACCTTAGCCCACACTCTAGCACTTAACTTCCTCCTTCTTCTCCCCTCAGAAATTTTAAGCAATTTTTGAATAGGTAATACATACCCATAATTCAAAAGATACAGTGTAAAGCAATTCCTTCTCACACCTCCATTTCCCAGTACATAGTTCTCCTCCCCGGGGTCAAGCACTGTTGCTCGTTTATTCTGTGTTCTGCAGATATTTTATGCATTTGCAAATATATATGCATAGAGTTTGACGTTTTCTCCCTGCACAAATAGCATGCTACACACGCATAGTCCTGCACCTTGATTTTTTCCACTTGACTCGGAAATCATTCCACATCAGAACAGAAAGCAGCCTCATTCTTTGTAACAAATGCACCATATTTTTTCAAATGGATGGTTTATTTAACCACTTTCCTACTGATGGGCGTTTAAGTTTCTATTCTTTTCCTACTGATGGGCGTTTAAGTTTCTATTCTTTTTCTCGTAAGCAGTGCTGCAACTGAATATTTTTGTATACATATATCACTTTGCATGCATGGAAGTAATAAGGTAAATATATGGATGTGGAATTGCTGGGCCAAAGCATATGTTTATCAAAGAATATTAGAAGGAATAAAGCAAAAAGGTCCCTCTGCCCTGCGTCCCATTTACTCAATTCCCCTACTGTCCTCCTCCAACAGGTGACCCCTGCTATTAGTTTCTTAGGTCCCCTTTACAGGGTTTTCCCCCGACATACAAGCAGTAGGAGTTTACCCTTTTTTGTTGTTGTTTACACAAATGATTATATACTATACACCCTATTTTTAATATATCTTGGAGATCTTTCCTTCAGTACACAGAGTCTGCATCCATTTCTGTGGTTGCAGCATATTCTTACATGTGAATGGGTCATAACCAGTATTTGCAATTTTGCTATATAGTGCCGGTATTAGGATTAGGGTTCTCCAGAGAACAGAACCAAGCGACAGGGGGTGTGTGTGTGTGTGTAGAGATTGAATCATTTGTTTTAAAGCATTGGTTCACATGATTGTGGAGGCTCTGTAAGTCCAAAATCTGCAGGGGAGGCCAGCCAGCTCAAGACCCAGGGAGGAGTTACAGATCTAGTCCAAAGGCAGTAGTCTACTGGCAGAATTCCTTCTTGCTGGGGGAGGCTGGGGAGTTAGTCTTTGAAGGCTTTCAGCTGATTAGAGGGAGCCCACCCACATTATAGAGGGGAATCTACTCTGATTTAAAAGTCCACCAATTTAAATGTGAATATCACCCAAAGAAGCACTTTCACAGAAACAATAATATTTGACCAAATATCTAGGTATAGAGACACAAGTTAATACACGAAATAAACCATCACAGTCCAAACTGACCTCCACAGAAATTGTTCCAATTTATGTAAGATTACTGTCCACAGTACCAAAGAAGAGCAAATTGGTACCTTTGGACAGAGTATCCAAGAGTGTCCATGAGGTTTCTCCCATCCAAGTACTAACCAGACCTGATCCTGCTTAGCTTCCGAGATCAGACGAGATTGGGCGCATCCAGGGTGGTATGGCCGTAGGCTGTCCATGAGGTTTCTGAGGGCCTCATGTGCCTGAGATCATTAGAATCTAATGTAAGAAGAACTTACAGAATGTTGGAACCGGGTCCTATGAGGTGTGGCTCGGTTGGGCACCAACCTGCAAAGAAAAAGGTCACCAGTTTTATTTGCAGTCAGGGTACACGCCTGGTTTGTGGGCCCATCCCCAGTTGGGGTGCATGCAAGGAGCAACTGATGGATATATCTTTCACACGTCACTGTTTCCCTCTCTTCTCTCCCTTCCCCTCTCAAAAAAAAAAAGAAAAAGAAAAAAAAAGAAGAAGAATGTCAGAACAGAAAGGTGCCTAAAATACAACCTAGTCAAATTCACTCATATTACAGACGGAGAAATGGAGACGTGGAGGCTGAAACTGGGCCACTGGGCATGGTCAGTGCTGCCCTGTGAGCCATGAGGTCCTACTTAGTTCAGAAATGGGATTCTGAGTGATCAGAAGTGGATTCAACCTAGCAAACCACCCAGGGTTCTAGTCAGGGTTCTCTGTAAGTTGCTGGGGAGATTCTGAACAAGGGGCTCCTTGCGCTGCCCAGTGCAGGCCCCCCTGCCCCACCTGGATGACCACAGTGGCTCCCTGGTGTCTCCCCAACCCCTTCCCCAGTCTTCAACCTCACAGATTCTGCAGTCTAACCTGTTTCTTGCATGAGCGTTCCTAAGGGGCAAATCTCATGTCAACTGACAGATCCAAACACGTGTCTTTTCATGGTGTTCAGGGTAAAATCCAAACGCAGCACACCTGGTCCCACGGTGTGGCCCTGCCTACATCTTTCACCACTCCTATTTCTTCTGCCTCCTGGCAGGTGTCCTGTACTACAGAATCTAGTCCACAGATACTAACAGCCACCGTGCCACGAGGCCATCTGCCTCTTCTTCCCCCGGGCCTACACCGCTCCTCCACACGTCAGGTTGGAGGGTCCAGGGCACTTCAGAGGGCCTACCTGACAGCTATGCGCCATAGTACACACCCCTCAGGTCACCTTCAGACCTGCCGCAGGGGCCGGGAGTGGAGGCTCTAGTCAGACTGCTTGGGTTCCAAAGCTGACCCCTGTTACCACCTGTGTGACCTCAGGCAAGCTCCTAAACTCTCAGAACCTTAGTTTCCTCATTTGTAAGCCAGGTGTAGCTCTTGCCTCACTGGGTTATTAGCCAGGTCACTTAGCACAATGCCTGTTCAACCAAAGGTGAGCTCTTCATTATCAAATTTGTATAATGGTTGGTTTTCAACATTCTCTTCCCCACTCGCCTGTGGGCTTCTTGATAAGAGATTCATTTTTCAGCTCAGGAACTCCAGCACTTAGCCTCGGTCAGCTCCATTGCTCCCCACCCCCACCAGGTAACACACCCTATTGTTAGTTAAAATGAAATGAGGCTGCGGGTAGACCTTCCTTGGCAGGACTGGTAACAAACAAACCTGCCTGGCTTTAGAGGAGTAAATCTGGAGAAGTCTGTCTTTTCAGGACCCTGTTTCTATCAAGAGGACAGAATATCCTCACTCCCATTTGCTATAATCCACATCCCATTATGAACTCCAGGAACTATTCCAGCCCCTTTGTTGAATCAGAATGTTGTCACAAAAATAATCTATTGTATAAGGAGCATCGATCAGAGCCCATAGACTGTTAGGCAGGGATTTGGTCACAATGCTGGGGGATTTGAGCAGGTTTTTTCTTACTATTAGTGTTTCATCTTTGCATCAGTTCACTTTTGCTCCTGTTCTGTTTTGAAGTCTGCTGTCTTTAGCTGTAGGTTTTTATTTTATATTTTATTTACTTCTGGGGCATAGTGTGCCTTAAGATGGCAATCATCGGGCCAAGAGAAGATCAACCAGAAATACCTGTATTCTTTCCCTGTAGGAAAAAGGGGCTGTCTGGTTGGCGTTGGGAGAAATATTGACCCTTCAGTTCCGACACTGTTGTTTCTTTTTACTCTGGTAATATTTTTTTAAAAGAAAAAAACAGGTGATGACAGTGAAAATCTCCAAATAGTCCAAATGGTCAGCTGCTCCCCAGTGGGACCAGCTGCCTTACACACAAGCATTTGTCAAAGTGTAGAAATAGACTTTTCTAAAGACAGATAACCCAACAACAAACATTTTCCTAAGCATAGTTGGTCTTTTCCAGGTTGTATTTTTTTTTTACAAAGGCAATATTTCACAGAGGTATTTCAGAATTTCTGTGAAAAGTGTCATATATAATGTCTGATGGATAATACTTTGTATTTGGGCAGCACTATACTTTTTTCAGGGGAGTCAAGTTCATTGAGGCATATTTTACATACAGTAAAATCCACCCTTCTTAAGTGTACAAGTCAATGAGTTTTGATAAATGTGTAGTCATGTAAACATCACCACAATCAAGATATAAAATATCCGTCACTCCCAAAAAGATCCCTCACTAGACTTTAGAGTCAGTCCCCTCCCTTGACTCCCAGTGCTGGCGACCACCGACCTGATTCCTGTTCTCACAGTTTGCATTTTCCAGAATGGTGTATAAATGGAATTATAGTCTTTTGTGCTTAGCTTCTTCCACTAAGCATTATGTTTTTCAGATCTATCTATGTTATCAACATGTCAGTGGGTTGGGTTTTTTTTTTCTTTTTTGAGCCTGGACTGTATTCTACAGTATGGATACATCCCAATTTTTGGTTTTTGTTTTTTTTGTCTATTTTTTTTTAAAGATTTTATTTATTTATTTATTTTAGAGAGATGGCGGCGGAGGGGAGAAACATGATATGCGAGAGATACATCGATCCATTGCCTCTCACACCTCCAAATGGGGACCTGGCCTGCAACCCAGGCATGTGCCCTGATTGGGAATCAAACCGGTGACCTTCCAGTTCACAGGCCAGCGCTCAGTCTACTGAGTCACATCTGCCAGGGCTCTTTTGTCTATCTACCAGTGACCAAGGGACTGGGTTGTCTTCTGCTTTGGCTATTATAAATTAAAAAACAACTATGGTTTCTGGCATTCATTCCATCACATAGAGAATCTTGTTTGAAGATCAGGACACCTTGAGAGTTGGGTGGTGTTACATCAGTGTCTGAGAAAAAGGACACACCAAGGGTTCCACTTGCATGAGTTCACATGACAATAATTGGAACTTTGGTCTTCCGACTCCCAACTGGAAAGGATATAGTTTGTTTTTGACTAAGATGTAATTCACATTCCATAAAATTCCAGTAAGAAATGTTTAACAGAACTTACATAAA